TCCCCAGCTGGGTCTCAGCGTGGCTGCCCTGACCCTGTGCTCTCTCCTCCTCAGGGGCAGCTGTTCCGTGGCTCCAGCCTGCTCTTCCGCAGAGCGCCCATGCCAGCCGCCTGCTTCCCCATCGACTGACTCCTCGGCAGGGAGAGGTGATGAACTCAGACTCCTCAAGAAACCCTAAGCTTGTTTTGATATATGTATATTTTTTCTTTTCGATCCAAAGTCCATGATGCCAGAACAAGACACCTCCTCTCCAGCAAGGCCAGCAACAAGTTGGCTTCTGGAGATCTGGCTTCAGGCTCCAGCTGGACCAAAGCTCCATCCTTATGGCTGTCTCAACCCGGATGTGTAGCAGAGAGCAGAAGGGCGTTGTCTCCTCTCTTTGGTCCAGGCTGTAGCCCTGGAGTCACTGGAGAAGTCTGGGAAACCAGAAAATGCCCAGGTACTAAACAAACCAGCCCAGAGATGCAGGGCCAAAAGACTGCTTCGTTCTGCCGGAGCTGAGAAGAGGAGATCCAAGGCTGCCGTGCTGGGAAGGCTACACCAGCTGACTGGCCTCTTGTCTCTTCTGGAGAGGGCAAACATCTGTGCAGCAGGTAGCTCATCCTGGGCCAGATCAACCCTGTGACCCATGTTTAAGGTTTTGAGGGTACCTGAGCACTACCAGAGAGCAAACCACCTCCCATGGGCATGAAAAGGAAATTAGAGCATCAAAACAGAAGAGGGAAGGAGTCTGGCTACAAAGAACAGCACGGTCCTGAAGAGACAGGAACGGTTCACCTCCAGGGCGGCGCTGGGACTCGGACATGGAGAGAGCACTTGGGGAAGGATGTGTGCTGCAGGCAGTAACTGCTTTGGGAAGACTTTTGGCAACGAGATGGGCTGTATTTAGGATACACCCCACAGAACCACTGGGTGGAACCTGGGCAGGCAGCCTGTATGCATTCCCCAGTAGAGATGGGTCCTGGGTTGGACTGGCCCAGCTGTGTGGCATGAGTGTGTCCCAGCCAGCGGGACCACAAGCCCTGCCAGGCTCCTGCCAGCCCCGAGCATCGCTGCTGCACCGATGGACACGGAGCCACATGTTGCAGCGCTGGGCTGCTGCGTGGCAGCATCCTGCTGGTGGCGACACGCAGAAGGGTTCGCCTTCCAGGAGGCATGATCAGTCTGTTGTCCTCTGGAATAAACCTTGAGCTGGCCAAAGGCTTGCAAGGCGTCAGGGCCAAGAGCTCACCAGCAGCAGCAGGGCAGGATTGATCCTCAGCTTCCCAGACAAGCATTCTTTTTGCACCAGTCTGTGCTGTTGCAGCAGCCAGGCAGATTTTCCCCCATTTTGGTTCCCCCACGAAGCAGTCTTTTGCACAGATGTGTTGCTGGACGCCCTGGGAACGGGTTTTGGGGTCAGTCCTTGAGCAGGTTCCCATGTGCTGCTGCAGCAGCTGGGGTCACATCCCATCCTGGTCCTCCAGGGACCCCAACCTGCTGTCGCACGGGGGTTTCCTCCATCACATGGGTTTGATCCACACCTCCCAGCCAGGGCTTGCGGGACAGTGCTGGTACACACTGGGACCGGTGGTTCCCACCCAGCTCCCTTTGGTGTTTTGAAGTCAGTCCTGTCTGTCCTTCCTCCCTCCCTCCTGTACGGTGTACGTTACAGTAACAGAAGTTCATTAATGCATGGCCCTGTACCCCGATACCGGAGATTATTTCAAAGAGGATTTAACTGTGCTCCAAAATACAGCTGTAACACAACAACTCTTGGGTGTTTCTTTTGTTAAAAAGTGTTAGTTTCTTTTTTCACATAACGGGCTCCCTCCCTCAGGGAAGGTTTCAGTTTAAGACAAGCATTTCCTTTGGTTTCTTCCCCAAAGCTAGGACTAAACCAGCTGTTGCCAACTCAGATTCCCTCTGATCTTCCTCAGCTCCATAGAAGGTCGACAGGTTTAGACTGAGCAAACTGGGAGCACCTGGAGCCAGGCTGGAGGCAGCAGTGGGCTTGGCTACTTGAAACAAAATACATGAAAGCAGGTATTTGGGGTTAAAGTTGACCCTGAGCAGTTCTGGGAGGGGTGATGGGGACCCTCTGCTGCTGCCAGACCTGCTCTGAGACCGTTGGGTGGGCTCAGCTGCTCCATCCCCCCTGCACGGCTCACAGGGTCTTCACCCACTGGCCTTTCATGGCAGTAGCTGGTTTCTTGCCTCCCTTGACACCAGGCATTGCATCTCCCAGATCACACAATGTCTGCTCAGGAATTTGTCCCTTTACCATCAAAATTACAGCCACCTTCTGCTGGCCACACACCTGTAAAGCCTCCTACACCCTGGCTGCAGCCACTGCAACAAAAAGTGCAATTTCCTTCAATTTACCTAAATCTGCACCAGAACGAGCATCCTGCTGGCAATTTCTGCCCAGCTCCCTGGGACCCACAAGCTTTACTAGAAACACAACATTTGGAATACAGTTTTTGGTCAATTTAAATGAAAAACAGGTTTCGAAGGTTTCAGTGCACTGCCTTGCCTTGAAGCAGGGGCCACCATTCATAGGATGATTAAATATTTCCTTACCTTCTCCTGTTTCTAACCCTGGTTCTTCTCATTCCATGTGTCACTGGAAGTGTCCCACCATGAGGAAAGTGTCTGCACCAGAGGCAGACAAAGAAACAACCCAAACCCTGGCTGGGCACCCCCCTCCCTTAAATTGCTGCCCCATTAGCAGGTGCCCAGCCCCACAGCTGGTGCTGGTGTGGCACAGGTGATGGGGATGGTGCCCTGCTCCTGCAGGAGAAGGGAACTGGGGTGAAACCTGCCATGGGGAGAACAAAGGAATGGGTGTAGGGGGAGGTTTGGGTCTGGCACTCAGGACGGAGCTGGGAGTTTCTCCCACCTACAGCCCCAGCGCTCCACTATCTTCCCAGGAAACAAACCTGGGTTTAAATATTGACTCTTTCCTGCTCAAAACTGGGATGGGTGGAGATCGCTGCCGTTCCGTGCCCGCATGGTTTATCAGCCCTGGGTGGAAAACGGAGATTGCCAGGACTTTGGCCTCATCTGCTCCCAGCTGCCGGGGGGAGAAGGGAGGCAGCGACTGCAGCTGGGAGAGGGGAACTCAGGTCAAGGCTGCCCTGACTCTCCGCGGGGCCCAGACGCTTGGCTCTGGCAGGATTTGGGGAGCACCGAGGGGCTGGTGGAGCCCTCGTGCCCCAGGGGAAGCGCAGCTGAGCTCGGACCGATTGCATCGTCCTTCCCTTTCCCCCGCAGGGCTGTCCTGCTAAAGACCCTGCACTTAAAACCGAACCCCCCCCTGGACCGTGCTGCTCGTCCCGCTGCAGAGCCGGGAGGAAGGCAGCCCAGCAAACC